CATTCATATACCCACCATATAACTTCTTTCTCATTGTCATACCTGTATTCTGTATTTTGAAATGTGCTAAACTTAGTATCAAACAAATGCCAACTCAAGTACTCAACTATTGATAAGGCTTAACATGACGAGCACTTTTAATGATGGTTTGGGATGACTTTGAGCAGTTTGCATGTTACTGTCGGCAGTTTAACCAATAGGCAGAATAATAAGCTTTTTAATGCACTTGGTAAATGTCTTTTGTAACATCTAAGCTCTGAGGATGATAAAGCACCGAGGGATCAGATAAAGACCCATCTATTGCAAAAGAGCTGTTCTCAGACTAGAAGATGAAAAAGCCAGATAATATAGCCATCAAACAGTGATATACCTCTTGATCTATTTACCTGAAGAACAAATACCCTTTCATTTGCTAGAATTGCTACTTGACAAAAAGGTCATGCTAAAACTGAATGGATGATTACAGGGTTCCATTCGACCGTCTATGTAATATAGCTCTGAGTGTTGGATAATGAAGAAGGCTGTGAGCGGAACAATGAAGTTGCTGAATTAAGGATGGCGTGGTGGAATCGTGTTAATGCCTTTTTGGACAGAATACCGAGTATTTCATTCTGAGCTAGGGGGGTTATTAGTGATAAAGTAAGATAAGACCTATTGTGTGGCTTGGTCACATCCACCGTAAAGATGCAACGACACCAATGAGGAGAGTATAGATTTTTTTGGTAGAGGGGACTAGGAGGAAAGGCATGCCAGCAAGACGTGATATGAGCAGTTGAGGTTGAACTTAGCAGTCCTAAAGCTCTATGAGGGCGTAGCGTCTTTCCATGCTTTTATTAGTTGAACAAATAACCAATGTGTTTTCCCCTTGAATAGTTGAATTGCATGGAGTTTCTTTCTGATATCATCCATAATTTCATTTCTGCTTTAAAGTTTTATGCGTTTAACATATAAGACTCATCTATTACATACGACGCAAGGTCTCAATGGAATGGATCTTAAAACTACTGCAATTTTGAGGATTTGGAGCATTCAAGATAGCACATAGTAGTATTTTGTTGTTGCCAGTTAAAAAAATCCCCCAGCCCCCCCCCCACCTGCATCTTTTCATTACCCCAGATTCTTCGGGTGTTTGTACTATTATTCCTGATGATTTACATCGTTCCTATTTGATAAAAAACACCATTTTGTTTTATCTTCATGGGTTTTATTGCTTCAAGTTAACTGCTAGGAGAAGTTACTTGTGATTGCAATTAACTGGAACATTTGCTCCAAATTATTTCTGAACCATTAAACAGAATGGTAATCATACTCAAACAAATTATTTTATTGTGGAGTACGAAATACATGGCATTGAAAGCAGGAAATACATGTCATTTTGACCCTATCAATGAAGTCTCTCCTGTCACAATTGCAATACATGTTCTATAATTTTTGCTCAAACAACAACATTACCCCAGTGCCTCAAATCTCCCTCCCTTTGCGGGGTAATGGGGGGGGGATATATGCAGCTTGACCACTATGTTTAAGACATAGAGCGGCTGTTTCCAGATGACCCATGGTAAGTGCGAAAGTTGCATTGACCTACTGCTACTTCACTATCAGAAGAAGTACATATAGTTTAAAGAGCCATTTTTCTTTATTCCATCATACTCCAAAGCCAAAAAATAGTGAATATATGGCTCATGGGGGGGGGGGGTATTAGAAATATCAGGGATAATAGGAAACAAGTTATTATTATTATTATTATTATTATTATTATTATTATTATTATTATTATTATTATTATTATTATTATTATTATTACTACTACTTTTCTTATTTTATTGTTATCATAATTGTTAATCTTTATATATAGGGATGGAACCTTCTTTGTTCAATAAGACCAATTATTCTTAAATTGTATTATGGTATCGGAGCAAGACTTTCTCTCTCAAAAAAAAAAAAATGTGTGTCTGCCTAAAAACCACCACCGAAAGTTTGGAAAATTTACTTTCCTTGTTATTTTTCTTCCTCTTCTCAACTATGTGACTTCTTGGAACATTGGTATGTTAGCACGCCTTGTTTGATGATTCCGGATGATAGGCCACATGTATCATCAGACAATAATATAGATTTGGATGGCCAGAACATGATATGTATTGTTGCAAAATGGTATTGGATTCAGATCTTCATTTATTCTTGGTTTCTTATCACAGGAGAAGTCATCACCACTACATCGAGATGAGGAATATTTGCAACATCGTGATGAAGAGTATTTGCTACGTCGAGATGAACACCCCACGGTTAGGGGATCCCCAGCTGGGCACAGGGAACCTAGGACACGCTACTCCAGTCCTGACCCACCATATCTAGACAAACCAAAGGCAAGCGACCGAAGTTCAGAACCCAGTGAAGTATTATGGATAGGGTTTCCTTCTCAGCTGAAAGTGGATGAGTTTATTCTAAGGAAGGCCTTTTCACCATTTGGAGAGATTGACAAGATTACTGCATTTCCTGGTCGAACTTATGCTTTTGTGCGCTTCAAAAATGTAGCAGCAGCATCCAGGGCAAGAGAAACTCTTCTGGGAAAATTATTTGGAAACCCTCGTGTGAATATATGTTTTGCTAAGAGTGAATCTGCTAACTTTAATCGTCATAGAAGCTCAATGGATTATCCATCCCCTCATTTCAGGACACATGAGCACCAAGAGTTCACAGGGAACTTTCAACAGGAAAGGAACTTTGGTAATGCTACTGGAGATCGTCACTATAGGTCTCCTCGTTTTTTCCCCGACTTGGATTCTCCCAGTGATCCCAAGCTGGGTGGTAGGAAAAAAAACTTATGGGATGGTGAGGATGAATCGTTTGAAAGAGGAGGGCCACCTGAACATGCATATGCTCTCCGAACTCCTCCAAGGAAAAGGTATCAAGACTTCCGTGATTTTTCTCCACAATTCCGTCGCCGAGATCCATTGTATGATGACGAGCAGTGGGACTTGCCTGAAGATACATTGCTCTTTCGTGAAACAAAGAAGCTGAGGACAAACTCCTACGATCCTGACAATGAGCTTCCAGAGTATCCTTTGTCTTATTCAGGACCGTGCAAGCAGATGATCTACCACCATGATTATCCACGACGTGACAAAACTTTTGATTCTAGACCTGTTGTTGATTACAGAAAAAATTCTGAGGGCCCAGGTCTGTCAAACTCCCCTTATGGCAGTGAAGATGATAGGTGGGGTGTATCACACGGACATTTTCAGACGGTTTCACATCCTACTGCAACAAATCCTGAACTCAAAAGATTATCTAAACCAGAACCACGCCCATCACTCATGATTAAGGAGTGGAAATGGGAAGGTACTATAGCTAAGGGAGGGAGTCCAGTGTGTCGAGCACGTTGCTTTCCAGTCGGACAACCTCTGGACATGAATTTGTAAGTAACATGTGCTCCATGATAAGTAATCCATAGCCAATTTCTTGTCAAGAGTCTCTTTAATCTAATGTTAAGATGTATGTATGAGAGTTTAGTAACAATTCTTGATCTACACCACGAATATTGTTTTAATCACTTTACTAAGGGCCCTGTTTGGTAGCACTAATCGGTTTATTCTGCTTAAGAAAATAAAATGTTTTTCCTTTTAGAAAAACTCAGCATTTATTTGCAAAGAAATAACCATACCAAACGGGCCATAAATCTGGAATGTGACTAGATTGATATTGGTCTTGTTAAGCATCTTGTTGAATAATCCTGCAGGCCTGAATACTTAGACTGCACAGCAAGGACTAGTTTGGACATGCTTTCAAAGCATTACTACCAGGCTGCTCGCTCTTGGGTTGTTTTCTTTGCCCCTGCAAACGACCCCGATATTGCATTCTACAATGAATTCATGAATTACCTCGGGGATAAGCAACGGGCTGCTGTTGCTAAATTGGACGATTCTACTACATTGTTTCTTGTACCTCCTTCAGAGTTCTCAGAGAAAGTACTGAAAGTGCCAGGGAAACTGAGCATGTCAGGTGTTATCCTGAGGCTAGATGCAGGAGGCTATGAGCAGCCACATGAACATGACAAGAAAGATGCTGATCGTTCGTCATTCTATCCAGCATCACCATCAACCATGCCTTATCCCCCATCATCCTCTGGATCTAAGCACTCAGCATCCTACCCGATGATCATCGACAAGGGGGCTGTCCCTAGGAATTCATCATATCCGGCTAGTAATGCTGCAGGATTGGCTCATCCCAATAACAGCAATGGGGCTGGATATGATGAATATATGCGGGGCCTGCCGATTAGTTCTTCCCATGAGATGCATAGCAATGTGAATTATTATCAACCCTCCTATAATCACACTGTCAATTCCAACACCACTCAAGAGTATGATATTAGTGGGGCCGCCAGGGCAGGGAAGCAAAATTCTAATCCTTCCACGGCTGCCGCTGTGGGCCCTCCTCTTCAACCAGAGCAATTAGCACAACTGGCCTCATCCTTTCTTGGGAAGCAGCAGATAGTGACACAACACTATGAAAATGCATACAGGCCACCTCCTATGCACAACAGTCAATTGACTGAGTTTCCCTCATCACAGTTTGGTCAATCAACATCGCTGCCTCCTCCCCCACCAGCTCCAGCACCAGCGCCCATTCAAAGAGAGGTTCAGACAGTTGTGCCGTCGAACCAGCCATCTACCCAAGACAACAACAGTGCAGACCCTGAAACACGCTTGCATGCAACATTGCAGTTGGCTGCAGCTCTACTAAAGCAGATCCAACAGGGTAAAGGAAACTAAGAAGTATGCCGCAGTTTGTTTATTTTGGCAGCTCCTCCCCAGAAACAATTTCAATGTTTGGCTATTTGTAACATTTCTGGACATGTGAAGTTGAATTCTTATCCTTTGTTTATTCAGTTAGAAAAGAATGACTGCTTGCCCTTTTTAGGTGAGTTAATAGTTTCTCTTCATCTACACTTTGAATTGATTGATGACCCATGATCAAAACACTTCGGAACAAAGAAACATTAACTCGAAACTTTTTTCTTTATTTGCTGAAAGTTGTATACGCACAAAAGAATAGGAGGCATCTTACACTTTACATACAAAAAAAAAATTAATAAATGGAGAACACAAGAGAATGTGGGATATAGGAAGAGAGCTTAAATCCAACATGCCAACCCAATGAACATTCAGAAGTACAAGTAGTTTGATGATTCTGGTCCATTAGTTGTGTCTCTGCAAAGAATAGACCGAGCTTCAGTTATTGAGCGAGGTGGCTCCAGATCTTTCTCTTGCAGAGTATTTCCTTGCAATCGCTGCATCTGTGAAGCAAAAATGTCGTCCAAAATCTGCAAAACATAAATGTCCTATTTTTAGAAGTTTGGTTCACGAGTCTATGTCATGAAATTCGTATGATCTATGCATAACACTGCATACCCCAAGTGCATGATATGCCCCATTATACCAGACTCTGTTTTCTTTTCTTCCCTCCAAAAATTTCAACACAATCTGGTTTATATATAAATGAAAAAAAGAAACAGTAGTTAGTACAACAAAACAAAGAAACCTATGGATCGAAAGCAGATGTGTGTGCTACTAACTAACCTGACCCATTTTGTCCCAGAATCCGCGACAGATTGCAATGAATATTCGGCTGGTAAAGACCTCCTGCAAGTTGCATATGGAATCTGAGAGCTGTGTTCTTAACATTTGCATTCTTTCACGGATTTCAGCCTCTCCGTCCGTTTCTTTAGTCTCCTCTAGGATCCTTTGCAACCGTGTGCTCCTGTTAGCTTGCATCTGGAAAAAAACACATAAAATCAGTTCTTCTTTACTGTGGTTTTGACTGCACCATACTGTTATGGACAAGTTAATGAATGAGTCTTTACATTGCTTGCAAGCTTAACCACAACTGCCTGCAAATAGTTCTTGTACTTTGTCCTTAGCATAACACTAATTCCATTTAGCTGCTCCCCAAACGTCGTTTTCCTCTCTCCGTTTTCCGGAAGATATGATGCCCAAAGCTTGAGAATTCCCTCAACTTGACAGTGGAGAACATCAAGAATTCTCTTCAAAGTATTCAAGAAAGTTCCCAACTGCCAAATGATGCGCAGAAACACAGTGAATAAATAAAAACATATATTACTATATGTCTATATGAATATATCCATTTATTCATTTGAGCCTTTTTACACTTACCTGACTTGGGATGCAGTATAGAGCAGTTGACTGTCTTCTCGCTAATTTCTGAACTTGCATGCCAAGCCTTTTTTGTACACTACCCTTCAAGGGAGTCAATATATCATTATACTGTTTTTCCAGTGCTTTTATAATTGCTCTCTCTACATTTGCAACTGCCTATAGATATGTCAAGAATATACGTCAGCCATTTATCAGCATAGTAAACCTATCCATCAATAAGCATCAACATTGAGATCATACATCCTCCAAGACCAGTGTATACTGAGGCCACCGATGAATCACTACTTCATACTCAAGCAACATGTGTTTGACCTTGTCAAAGAGTTCTTCAGCAAATGGTGAAGTTGAATAATTTGTAATCACTCCAGACCATGGCACCTGAATGGAGATTATGCCTTAAGAGTTTGCAATGGAGTTGCATGATACATGATGATAGTATATAGATATTTTACCTTCTCTGCCTTGCAATGTTCAAGTAAACTAAGTTGCAGGTCCTCCACCCAAACCATTATATAATCATGGTACAGGCCTCGTGAGTCTATACCACCTTGCAGCATGCTGAAAATATGAAAGTCAAGGGTTTGATAAAAATGTTTGTTCTAAAGGACAGTCTTGTTGAAAAAACAACAATTAACAAGAGTTTAATCATCTCTCACTAACCGAATATTCCACAACTCCAAATTCCTTTCTAAATCAGCAGTTGCTATCAAAAGTTCATTAACATGTTGCATGGGACCTGAAGGAGGACAAGCAGCAAGAAAAGCTTTAAGTCTCTTGCACAACTCTGTGCTGTAGACAGCAGTTGTGATGCTTGATAGGTCGATGGAACTGAAAGCATCGAAAAGGTATTGTGAGATAACTTAAACATTTAGTGAAACGCAACACAATCCTTAAGGAAGTATTATTTTATAAATGAACATTCTGATATATGAGTTTACCTTGGTAGTATATTCTCTTTGTGGATTTTGATATCTGCTTGAATTTCATTGCTTATGTTGATGACAAGGGTCTTTACCTTAGCATAAGCTGTAGAGATAGTTACTGAATCCATAACCAAACCTTCTGAGCTCAACGACAAAAACTCATCAGTTTCTACCATATGTTTTCTACACCTTTTAGCAGCTGCTGTCTGATAGAATCATAGTTATAGTTTATTAGACTAGCGAGAGTGATAAAAATTATCAATATAGTTACATAAAGGGGAACTCAATCAATTACTCACCTGCAAATAGTTTTTAAGCAGTGTCTGAGAGTCTTGGGCAAGAACATCATGGAGAAGTGTGTAGATTTGTACTGCAGGGGCAAGTGCTGGTGCTGCAGTGTCTGCTATAGGAGATGAGATGTCTGCTAGCCCTGTAGGAGAGCTTTCATCTAATGTTTTGTAGTTCTGAAACACATCCGCTAAGAGACTCTCGACACGTGTTTCACAATCCAACAATATGGTTTTCTGATGTTTAGGAAAAGAAGGAAATGAAATATCATGTTTGGGAAGCAGAATAACGACACAATTGAAAAGAGTTTTTGGTTAAGTGACCAGGAGCACACCTCTTGCCTAGTTAAACTTTTCTCAGTTCTGGACCTAATGACCGGAAGAAGTAACTTGTGCACAAGCTCCAAACAATCTTGTGTTGGAGTGGCAATATCCATTACATGCGAAAGATATCTGAGCAAAACCAAAGAGTTAGTAAAGCTAATATTTGAAGTGAGCAGTTAGTTCAAAGGGGACGATTGGCACCTCAGTTTAGTATATGAATCTGAGACTCCATAATAATCTGAGAATTCTCTCAGTAACCATTTCCAGTGTTCACCTATCCCTAAGTTTCTGGCACAAAACTGTCCCGCACGCATTGCAGCCTCTAGCAATAGATCATATGCAAGAGTCTCAACAACAGGTCCATTCTGTCACATTAGACCATGAAAACATTTTAAACCATGAAGGTTTCTATGCTTGCTATCAAGTAATAATGACTCATAAAGGTTCAGTTTAGCTAATACAACATCTCTAGGAAATCCTATCAAAGTTCATGTATTTTGAGAGGTTTAAGACTGCCAAGTCAAACCTTACGGCTCATCTGGAGCAGCATAGATATGATAAACAGAGTCTGTGAAAGACAAACCTTTAACTGTGACGTCTCATCACTTGTGAATGTACTATTAATGTAAAGCTGGACTTTCCCAACACACTCATGATCTTCAAGATAAACTGGCCACCACCGAATCTTTTCATGCTATTAAAGTTATTAATTGTGCGATTAACATTCATTTAGGAAACAAAAACAAGCTATTGGTAAAATTTCTAAATCAAATTATGAAACATACAAGGTTATCGACCATAGATGCAACTGGAACTGTAGCTAGACCAAGGACATTTTTCTTAGAATCCTGGACTTCAACCAAAAGAGCATCACCTTGGTTCTCTGGAAAACTGCAATGGTTACAATGCGTACAGAAGTTAGAATTTTTTAATGGAAATGGAAAAATGAAGAGCAATACACGGAGAGGCTACTGAAGGATAAATCTGCATTCCCAGAGTACACTGCAATGGTATTAAAGAAGAGATAAATCTGCATTCCCAGAGTACACTGACAACTCACAAATCATGGTAGTCCCCAGATCCAGGCCTCAAGGAAACAGAAGAACACGGTTCAATTTGTGTATCTTCTGCTGAACTTCTCAGGTGAATTAAGCATGCAAGTGACTCTGTTTGAAAGATAGTGAGTAGCCGTTATTAGTAGCATTTTCTAAGCTATGCATTCATATGAACTTATAGAAAAAATTAATATTCTTTTTTGGTCTGTTAGACGACACATTAGATAGTGGAAAATCTGCATTTAGCCTTTGATTATAGGTTAAGATTGCAAACCTTCAGATGTGAATAGAATTGGATGAAGTTTAAGAGAGCTGATTCTGTTCTTCACTACTGATGAAACATGCCGGACATAGTCTGCACCCACTTGCAGGTAAATTGCTCCACGAAATGAATTTGTGCTCTTAAGCTTCCTCTGTGGTAATACTCTCAGCTTTTTCACTGCCATCATTTGGTGAATTGTGAATGATATGAATGAAGTGTAACACATTTGCTCCACTTAAATATAATGAATGCAATGAAACCCCATTCATGGAAGATGTAAACTGAGTCGAATACTTTGTAAAGCGACTGCTGGTACGACTTCAGAAAGAACATACAAAATATACTAGTGGTGAATGCATGTTACAAGATTTAAACCAAGTATTCAACATGCTGTGAAGTTCATTTAATCAAGTAAAAGCCATTTCAAACGAAAAGTGCACTTCAGAGATTAAGGTGTGTCTATTTAATGGTCTGATTATTGAGCTTTGAGTTCTCTACCTTCTACACGAATCTTTCCAACTGCCTTTCTTAGTTTTGCGGGTAGTGCACCTTCTGTGGATTTATTATTGTTTCTTTGCGTTGACTGACGATGCCGTGGTTGCAACAAAAATTTCTGCAGTCTAGAAAGTGTTGAGGAAAGAAAAAACATAAAACATAGGAATGTGGCCAAAATAGTGTTTAGATATGGATTAGTGTTAAACTCGACTTCATACCCAAAGGCACTTCTAAGCAGCTTGCATTCATCGCGCAAAAAATCAGGTGCTTCAATACAACCTCTCGCCCATGCATTCAGGCATAGCCTTATACAAGCATCATAAGCCAGGAGAACTTGCCATGCATTTTGGTTGCTGTAAGTTACATGAGATAAATGTAAACGATCAAACTCCTAGAACATTTATGAAGATAATAGTTACATAACCTCTTCAGATTTACAATGTATGATTGATTTTCAAGTTCAACATGATATGATATTAAATATTTTATGCAATCATATAATCTTTTTGTTAACAAGTATTTATAATTCGTGCATGAAAAGAATAAACAAGTCGACAACTAATTTATGTATTCCTTGGCCAGTCATAAAATATAACATTAACAATCTTTGTTAAGCTCAACATATGCACCAATCAAAAATAACAATGGAACTCATTGAGACAAATATTTTGGAATATATTTAATCTAAACATGCTAAAACTGTATAAACACGTGCAGATTAACGTAATGTAAAAATATAATAACACCTAACCTCTAGCCATAGTAGTTGATTGCTTTAATAACTCTTAAAACTGCAGACAATTTAATTTACAGTTTAATTTACAGTTGTACTCTAGTATTATGTATATGAAAGCTTCGATTGGGTGAGGACCTCAATTGATAGATCAACATCCATGAGGATGATTTACTATGATAGATTATAATATTGCATGTATAGCAATATTATTGTCATCCGAGAGGCAAAGCACTGCAAAAGGGCGCTTCTTTAATTTAATACATTGTTACTCCACCAAATGTTGTACAAAACAAAACTAGCATCTTCCAATAACACATTCCTACCTCTAAAAAATGTACCTAAGAACTTCACAAGGTTCTAGACACAAGACAAAATGTTACTCCACCAAATGTTGTACAAAACAAAACTAGCATCTTCCAATAACACATTCCTACACAAGACACACCCATATGCATTCTTTTAAGTAAAACAAAACCTGGTGTCATAATGAGGTGAATGTCCTTCAACTGTGTTTGCTTGCTGTAAACACACCTTTGATTCCATCTCTCCTGCATTTGCTTTATCTTGCCTGCACCACAAACCGAAAAAACTTTTGTATACTGAAACCTTTCACACACACACACATATATACCATGGTTTGGAGAATTAGGGAGGAAAAGAAAATGCTAAAGAAAAGAAAATTAAAAAAACAAAAATCCTAATTTTGTTTGGTTAGTAAGGAAAACAAAGATAAAGATGGTTGAGGGGAAGGGGAAGGGGGCGGGGAAGGGAGAGTGGGGGTGGCTGGGGAAGG